AGCTTCTCATAATCCACCAACATGTGGAGACCTTGCAGGTATATTCAACCATTCAATATTTCTTTGAGCGCAGAATTTATCTACATTTCTACAGTGATCTTTTTCTGAAAACAGCTTATATATTTCATTTAAGCTATTTGCAGCTCCTATAAAATTTGTTGCATTACCCGAAAATATTTTCATCGGACAACCTCTTCTAGCTACAAATCTTTTCAACGCACCCATAACAGCAGCGGAAGTTCAATCAGATACGACTTCCAAATGAACTACTTTAGTTGTAAAACAGACAAACACGCAATAATGGATTGTTATAGATCCAAGAAAATCTATTCCTTCACTCAAAAATGGACGCGTTCTGATAACACGATCCTTTGGTAAGTTACCCATTAACTGATGTAACCGTCTGGGATTTAATTTGAACCATCTATAACATTTATTTACCACCTTTTTTACTAACTGTCGACCTCTAAGTGGCCAAAATTGTTGTCTTACTATTGCTAGTAATCCTTGAGGTCCTACATGTAAATGTTTCCTATGTAAATCTTCTATCAACAAGTTTACTATATAATTTTTTATAAGGTAGGAGATTTGGGTGTTTTGCTCCATAAAATAAACTGTTATTTTGAAGTCTTCCACCTACCCTTATTAACCCGTCATTATCTACAAATGGATATAAAGTTGTTAAATTCCATGATTTTGCTAAATTTTTTCCAGATTGCAAACATTTAAGTTCTTCTGAAAAATTTCCATTTTGAATATACCTAATTGAAAACAATAATGCATCTTTTCTGTATTCAACAAAAGATTTGTTGTGACCTTTTTTAGCTTTGTTTTAAAATTTTAACACATAAGCTACAACGTTTTGAAGAAAACAAACTTGTTCCTATGATTAATATTTCTCCACCATACTTCCCTTTCCTGTACTAAAAGTACTTTACAATTTTTCTTAACTTCAGTTATATCATCAAGTACTGTTGGTGAAATAAGGGACCTTCAAACCAAAACCTATTATTTATAATCTCGCTACCTAATAAGCCTCTAGATATGAGATCCGCTGGATTATCTTTTGAACTAACGTACCTCCAATCACCTATATTGCTGTTTTCTTGTATCAATCTTATCCTATTTGATAGAAATATTTGACTGGATCAATTTTAATCCAGCACAATACAGTGGAATAGTCAGAATAATAAAATGTCCTACATTCTATTATTTTCAAACTTTCACTGACTACTTTCATTAACTCTGTCAGTAATACTTCTGCACAAGGTTCTAATCTTGGAAGCGTTATCGTTTTATTGGAGCCGCTCTTGATTTTGAAGCAGCTAAATGTCTATAAACTCTTCCATAGCTGTTCACTGACCTTACATAGACAGCTGCACCATATGCTTTCATGGAAGCATCACAGAATCCATGAAGTTCTATTTCAGTTGGATTCACACAAATAATATGCCTTGGTACCTGTACGTCGTTTAGTAATTTTCCTTAATTTTGATCCAACTTCCGCAATTTCCTCAGGAATTCTATCATCCCTATCCAATTTTTGCTTCCATAAATCATGGAGTAACATCTTCGCCCTTATGGTTACAGGTCCAATCAACCCTAATGGAATCTTGAAACTTCACTTAAAATTGTGCGTTTTGAAATTTTATTCTGAAAATTCCATTTACATTTCAAACTAAATATGTCTGTTTTTGGGTTCCATACAATACCCAATGTTTTAACAAGCTTCAAATTATTTAATTCTATATTTAAATCATTTTCTATATAACTGGGATCAATAACTTGGAGCAATAGTTTTTCATTAGTACACCATTTTCTTTAAGGCATACCGAACTCCATCAATATATTGCCAATATTTTGTCTAACTCGTTTTAATGATTCTATACAATCTCCTCCAGTCATCAAATCGTCCATGTAAAAATCATTCCTTATTGCGTCTGATTCAATTGGAAAGTTGTCTTCTTTACAATCTGCAATGTTTTGCAAACATTTTGCTGTTAAATATGGAGCCGAAACTGTTCCATATGTAACAGTTTTTAGAGCATATGTCTTAATAGTTTCATCTGGATTCCAGCGCCAATATATTAACTGATATTTTCTGGCAGCTTCAGAAATCCAGATTTGTCTATAAATTTTTTCAATGTCAGCTGAAACAAGTTAGAGTGCTATATTCGGCTATGCCGAATTTTAAATACCCTCCACCAGCAAGCTACTTTTTGTTAAAACCCATTGAACTATCTAATTTTTAGAGAACTTGACAAAAAATTTGTTTCCATAGTTAGGGTACTAACATTTATGTATGCATATGTGGAACTAATTTTGGATTAGATCCAGAAAAATGTATATTAATAGGCTAGTTCGAAAATAGAAAGATGTCGAATTTTATTAAGTGGTATTAAGTGATTTTCAGAAGTAAAATTCCGTATAACGATTTATATATAAAAAATACACATCTATGTCGAATTTTATCCCGATAACTTTGATTGTTAATGTGCATTGAAGTAATTTTCGGAAATGGTCCCTATATGGGAGTTGTGACCAATTATGGACCGATCAGGAAAAAATTTCTTATAATGATTTATATAAAAAAAAAATCAAGTGGAATTTTACTCCAATAGATTTATTATTTAATGAAATATGTGCGTTTAAGTGATTTTCGGAACTGGACTTTATATAGGAGCTATCACCAATTACGGCAATCTCCGGAAAAATTTCGTAGAGTGACTTATATTTAGACAAAACATATTTGTGTCGAATTTTATCAAGATAGCTTTATTTGATAATGAAATATGTGCGTTAAAGTGATTTTTGGAAGTGGACCTTATATGGGTGCTATGACCAGTTAAAATTTCATAGAGTGATTCATATATAGACAAAACATATTTGTGTCGAATTTTATGGAGATAGCTTTATTTGACAATGAAATATGTGCGTTTAAGTGATTTTCGGAAGTAGGCTTCATATGGGAGCTATTACCAATAGTGGACCGATCCGAAAAAAATTTAGTAGAATGATTTATATGTACACAAAACATATTCAACTCGAATTTTATCACAATAGCTTTAGTTATCAATTAAATATTTGGATTTGGGTGATTTTCGGAATTATGGACCGACTGAGATCTACGTTGGTAGTATGATTTCTATTCACATTATATTTGTGTGTACAAAATCTTGTGTTAATATCGATATATTTGAGGGAGTTATAATAATCTACTTTCCTCGGAATGTATACCTTTTTATGGGGGCTATGGGAAATATTGGATCAATTGTTCTGATTTTTAACATACTTGATCCCTGAAAAAATAACGTGTGGCAAAATTCATCGAAATATCTTTGGTAGTTTCTGAGAAAACTGCTTAAGAATTGGGGAAAAAACGTAATGTTTTCGAGGTAATTTTTACTCATAACATTTTACATCGTGAATCGATTTTGCTCATTTTCAATACCAAACTGCTTAGGATAATAACAAATATTTCTGGCGAATTTTGAGCGTGTTTTACACGTGCCTGTCTGACGGACAGACAGAAGGACATAGCTTTTTGAGTTTTCTATGATATTGAAATCGTTCTACGAAGGTAATTTTTGAGTTTTCTTTAAAATAAAACTAGAAACATAAAATAAAGCGTGTAGATCCCGGAGTAAATGAGAATCTATAAAACAGAATTTGATAAGGATCCAGAATATATATACTTTGTTGGGTCTCAGATAAATATTTCTTGGTGTTACTCACGGAATGACAAAGTTATATATACCCTCTATCACCACTGATGGTGGTGGAGGGTATAAAAAAATTTGAAAAACAATCAATTTGAAGTTCATTGTTTAGTTAGCACTTTTTTCTCCTGTAGAACATTCTAACATTTAGTTTTATATATTTGATCATATTTTGAAATTCATTTTCTGGCAACAGTGGGTTAAATCCTATGTCCTATGTTTTTGCAAACGTTCTTGAATCGTATATTTATTCATGATTAATTAATTGGCATAAGATGATGTTTAAAATTTTGAAGGAATGGTAATGCCAAGTTAACGTCTATGCAAGTACCCAACAAAAATAAAACGATGTACTTCCAAAAGAATAACGTTTATCAACACTTTAAAAGGTGCACTAAGTGAATTTTTTACCTTCTGAGGAAGTGATGTTTAAAGACTTCCGAAGAAGCGAAAATAATTCTATTTTTTCAATGTTGAATATATATTTTTTGTTCTTACATTTTTATGAGATAGACAATTTTATTTTTGGGCTTTTGTAATAAATGTGTCTATTACCCTTATTAATGTTAATATTATTTAAGTCGAATTAGTTGTATTCTATAATACTACAATTTCACCTCCGAATAACTTCCAAAAAAAGCATAAAAATTACTTCTTGAGAATGACTTTAGAAGTTTTGAATTTGGAATCAAATAAAAAGGACATCCCTACTATGACAAGTCTGTCTTAAAATCATCACTTCTTCAGGTCTTTTTCAGTAAATTCTACTTCTTTTTCGCTTTTTGGAAGTTCTTTTTTTTTGCTGGGTTATGTCAAAAATTAAATGTCATGTCATGATATTTAAATGAAATTCAATATAAATAAGGTTCATACCAGCTGTAATCACTGACTCAAATCCTTATATATTTCGAAATTCTCATAAATATAAATATACATACTTGTAAATTGCGTAGGGTGATATGGATGTACATTGTACATCTCTGAATATAGTTGATTTTTTTTCATATAGTTATATTAAAATTGAATATATGGTGAAGGGAATTTCGAATATACTTTTCGTACTTCTTTATTTTATATTTAAAACATAAATTGCGATTAAACAAATTATTTATTTTATTATTCATTAAGCAATTTTTTCATTTAAAGGTATTAAGTGTTAGTACCGATTAATTTTTAACACATACTTGGTTGTGGCTATATAAAATTCGACGTTTCCGAACATAACACTATTTCTTGTTTTGCATTAAATTTACACTAATAAAATTTGATTTAAAAACACAGGGAATGCGCGCTTATACTTAATAATCGTAAATGGGATTCAGAAAAATCTAGAATACATTTTGAGAGTGGTGTGCGAATGGGTATGGGCACTTTCAATCTTATGATTTCTTTACTACCAGCCGGAGTGGTGAAAGTTTTAGAGTTTATTGGGTTTTCTGGAAATAAGGTGCGTTTGGACGTTGTTAAAATACTTATTAAATTATTATTTCATAGTGTAACTTTATTAGGAAAGCGGCTTAGAAGATCTCCAAACTGGTTACAACCTACCGGGGCTGCGGCAGATTTTATGTGCAATGACTTTATTAGGTTATCATTTAATAGTGTGTTATGTTTTGAGCCACCAAGAAGGCGATTTAAAATTCGCAAATCAAATCTTAAACAGTCAACTAGAGTTATATCCAAATGGAGTATGGTTTCTATTTTTTAAAGGACGCCTCGAGTTTATGAAGGGTAACTTAGAAGAAGCTCAAGTTTGGTATAAAAAATCCTGGAAATCTCAAAATGTCTGGCCCCAGTTTCATCATTTAAGCTTCTGGGAATTATTATGGGTCAATTGGTAAGTAGAATATTAAAATACTGTTGTTTTTTTATTTTTTAATGTTTATAATGAACCGATATTAAAATTCTGATTCTTTAATATAAATATTAGCAAAGTCAAATAATAGAACTTCGTTAGTATATAATATTAATACATACATAAATATAAATCTATATATATATAAAATTCTAGCGTTACTGACTGACTGACTGACTGATTCATCATCACACAGCCTAAACAGTTGAAGCTAAAGAGCTGAAATTTGGACAGGAGGTTGGTCTCCCACCAGATAAAACCACTAAGACGGGATTTTTGGAAATTCGAATGTTTAGGGGGTAAAAAAGGGTATCTCCTAAACTATAAAATACAAAAACAGTTTAAAGCTTATCGTCGTTCATTTAAAAAATAAGCGGACAGGTGTCTGGTACTTTTTTCAATTTCGGCCCATTTAGGGAATAAATGGGTAAAAACTGTATTTTTGTACTGCACCCCATGTATCTTTTAAACCAGAGAACATTCAAAAAATATTTTTGACTCCTTCATAACTTGACGAAAAAATAAAAATTTTGTACTTTTGGGATATTCGGACGTTTAAGGAGTGAAAATTGTACCTATTTTTGGTACTTTTTTCATAAAACATTGTTTTTGGTTTATTAACTTATACATATGAATACATAATAACGGGCTACTAATACGATGTTGCAACTTTTTGGAACAGAATTTTTATTTCGTTAATGGGGAGGAAAAAAGTACCAAAAGGGGTATTAACGGTAAATTTGATTTTATTCAAACACAAAGATCCAATTTATATAAAATTTTTAGATCTAGAATCATTAAATATGCTAATGGGGTGTTCTTTGGAACACCGGTACCAATTGATATTTTTTGGTACTTTTTCATTCTCCAACTGGAACATTTTGAGTTTTCTATGATATTGAAATCGTTCTACAAAAGTACTTTTTTGAGTTTTCTTTAAAATTAAACCTAGAAACATAAAATAAAGCATGGAGATCCCGGAGTAAATGAGAATCTATAAGAGGAGACTTTTTGGTACTTTTTCGTCCTTCGACTGGTACTTTTTGAGTTTTCTATAAAATTTAATCTAGAAACATGAAATTAAGCAAGTAGAGCCCGGAGTAAATGAGAATCTATAATAGGGGACTTATTGATACTTTATCAAACTTCGACTGGTATTTTTTTGAGTTTTCTATTAAATTGAACTAAGATACATATAATTAAGCACGTGGAGCCCGTAGTAAATGAGAATCTATAAAAAGGAACTTTGTGGTACTTTTTCGTTCTTCAAAAGGAACTTTTTGAATTTTCTATAATATTAAACCTAGAAACACGAAATTAAGCATGTAGAGCCTGGATTAAATGACAACCTATAAAAGTTGACCTTTTTGGTTGTTCGAAAGGTACATTTTAAGTTTTTGTATAATATTGAACATAGAAACGTGAAATTAAGCATGTAGAGTCCAGATTAAGTGAGGACCTGTAAAAAGGGACTTTTTGGTATTTTTTCGATCTTCAAGAGGTACTTTTTGAGTTTTCTATTAAATTGAACCTAGAAACATGAAATTATGCACGTAAAGCCTGGAGTAAATGAGAATCTATAAAAGGGCACTTTTTGGTACTTTTTCGTTCTTTGACTGGTACTTTTTGAGTTTTTTACAAAATTTGAACCTAGAAACATGAATGAGAATCTATAAAAGGGGACTTTTTGGAACTTTATCGTAATTCGACCGATACTTTTTGAGTTTTCTATAAAATTAAATCTAGAAACATTAAAATAAACATGTAGAGCCCGGATTAAGTGATAGCCTATAAAAGGGGACTTTTTTATACTTTTTCGTTCTTCAACTGGTACTATTTGAATTTTCTATTATAATGAACCTAAAAACATAAAACTAAACAATCACAAGCAGTAAACTGGCTAATGAACGTATACTGGAAATTCTTGGAGGTCAAAATGCTGAGCTGGCAGTGGAAAAATGGGATGTCTTTTACAGGAAAGAAGAACCTGAGAGAACTTTATTTGTAATAGGTATCGACCAGAAATCCATGGCTAGTCTTGCCAAGAATAATGGTAGGGCTTACTTCGCCTCTAAAGCTGTCATATTCAAAATTGGGTAGGTGCCGATTGGAAGGGCTGTTACAACAAGCCTCGAAAAGGACACTAAAAAACCTAAGACCACAGCATCAGTATCCACTACTGATAATGTTGAGGAGTCAAATCCTAAAATCGAGGAATTTACCATTAACTCGACAGAAGAAAGTGTAGTTGTTCTTTCCAAAATTGGGAAGGCGCCGATTGAAAGGGCTGTCAAAACCGGCCCGGACAAGGACAGTAAAACACCTAAGACAGTACCCAAAGCATCATTAGCAAATACTGGCAGTGTTGAGGAGTCAAATCCTAAAAGCGAGGAGGAAATCACTCACCCGCCAGAAGACAGAACAGTAGTGCTCTCCAGAATTGGGAATGTGTCTATTAAAAATACTGCTATTCCTATGCCTGATAAGGACACCGCAGAGCCATCAACAGTACCCAATGCATTAATAGCCACTTCAGGCTATCCGGAGGAGTCAAATCCAAAGAGCGAGGAGGTGACCACCAACTCGCTGGAAGACAGTTTAATGGATGACCATGATTGAGGTTATCCAAATAAACCTCCATTGAAGCGAGACAGCTACCAACGCTCTGATGGCTAAAATTAACACAGGTAAAATACATATAGCTTTAATCCAGGAACCTTGGACGATTCGCAACAAGGTTTCTGGATTAAATCACGTAAATTTCCAACTTTTCTACGCAGATACAGGATCTCGCCCGAGAACATGTATCTTATGTCACAAGAACTTATATTTTCTCCTCTCAACAGGATTATCAACATCGGATGCAACGGTGCTGAAGCAAGGTCGTGGCAACATATTCCTTACATCTGTTTACCTGCCTTTCGATTCTCCGACACCAACGTCGGATCTGATGAAACTGGTCGAAGAGGCACAAAGAAAAAATAAGAAAATTGTAATAGGTTGTGATGCCAACTCGCACCATGTAGCTTGGCGTAGTACAAACACCAATCGCAGGGGACAAGCCCTCATGGATTTCCTTAATACTAAAGACTTGATAACATTGAACTTAGGTAATAAAGCTGCCTTCGTCAATAGAATCAGAGAAGAAGTATTAGATATAACTATATGTCCAGAAGAGCTTATAAACGAAATGCCAAGGAAAAACCCTGGGTAACTGGGGAGATCCGGAACCTTGGGAAGACTCTTCGCAAACTATTTAACCGGGCACGGCGTAAAAAGACCGCAGTATACTGGGATGAGTATCGTAATAAACTTGGTGAATATAAGAAAATCGTTCGAAAAGCCAAACGAGACTCCTGGAAACTTTTCTGTGAACAGGTAGATAGCGTAAATGACGTATCGAAGATAAAAAAATTCCTATCCAAAACTCATGTCCAACCGGAATCTATGATCGATGACACGGGCAGGAGGCTTGAGGATATGGAGGAGACAATGAAACTCCTAATGGACTCTCATTTCCCACCCGGATTGGTTTTTTTAAAACAACATGGAAATTGTATGCAATGTCTCAAGAAACTTAAAGGTTTTTATTGCAAATTGCATTCAGGTTCAAGTGGCCACACATTATTTCGTATTTTGGGCAAACGAAAGGCCTTTGCCTATGGTCTATTTCTGACATTTCTTTCGTTTATTACGAACGAATCCATTTTCTAAAAACCAAAAATATATGAAACAAGTTAGAGTGCTATATTCGGCTATGCCGAATCTTAAATACCCTCCACCAGCAAGCTACTTTTTATTAAAACTCATTTAAATATCTAATTTTCAGATAACTTGGCAAAATTTTTGTTTCCGTATTGTGGGTACTAACATTAATGCATATGTCAAACAAATTTTAATAAGGTCGAGAAAAATGTATATTAATTCCGTAGAATGACTTATATATACAAAATACACATTTATGTCGAATTTTATCCCGATAACTTTGATTGTCAATGTGCATTTGAGTAATTTTCGGAAATGGTCCTTATATGGGAATTGTGACCAATTATCGACCGATAAGGACAAAATTTCGTATAATGATTTATATGCCAAAAAAAAAAAAATCAATTCGAATTTTACTATAATAGATTTACTGATTAATGAAATATGTGCGTTTAGGTGATTTTCGGAAGTGCTTTATATGTATACGACAGGGATGGAAAGTGAGATTTTGTTTCAGTATCAACAAATATTTCAGAGGGTACTTTTTTTGGATCAGAGAGTACTAAAATAATTTTTTCGCTAAAATTTTGTAACTTCTTAAATACAATATATTTAGACATTTTAAAATAATCCGCAACGGAAGTAGAAATGTCATTATATGTTAATATGATGAATCTGTGTTCGTCCCTCAATGTTAACCTTTTAGATACAGTTTGATGAAATTTGCTATGTAATTTCTTGTCCATAGCAACTTTGTTAAAGCAGTTATTATACAGTTTGTTGTATTTTAATAAATCCGGTCTTAATTAATATCAGGCCACCTTTGGCCCTTTTTATTAAACTAAAATCCGACGTAGGTGTTCATTGCGCTCCATGACATGAGACTTCACACAGAATATTTGTTCGTACATCTGATTCTGAATATGACATGAAACAATAATTTGCATTAAAGTCCAAATATTTTTGACCAAAAACTTCTTTTATTATATTAAATGCTTAATTTCAAAATATATTGCTTTATATTAGATAGAAATTGAAAATTAAATTCGAGTTTATATCTTTTGGAAATCATTCAAAGTCAACTATTTTTCCAAAATTGAAATTTCTGGTAAAACTTTTTAGCCGTTTTTTCCAGAAGTTATAGTGGATGAATTTTATGTAAACATGTGCCAAAACATTCGTGGAATTTTAAATTTGAATAAATATTTGAAATTTTAAAGATACTTTGACCCCCATTTCTCAATGTATGTATTGTTATTTTTTATCGAAATGAAATA